TTCAGCAGGTTTCAGAGTACAGGAGGAGACCTGGTAACACTTTCCTTGTCTTTCTTCCCGCAGGGATATGCTCCACCACCCAAAAATGGAATTGAGCAGAAGCGACCCGGGCGCCCCTTGAACATAACCTCTCTGGTGAGGCTGTCGTCAGCAGTGCCAAACCAGATTTCCATTTCCTGGGCTTCTGAAATTGGAAAGGTAAACTCTGTGTTCTGTAAGACGTGGAGAGTTGTCTGAATACCCTCATCTAGAAGTTCTTCTCCCGTGCTGCCTGATGTTGCTGGCGAGGCATACACCAGCAAATGTTTAGTATGAGGTGCCTGAACTTGCCGTCATTGCCAGGAAACAAAGTTTGCTCTAGAAGCGTGGCAGTTTACAGTAACATGTACAAGATTTGCATACAGATGGCAAAGATTTCCTTACAGAAGTCATCTTGGCCTGCCACGAAGGGTTGCCTGAAGCATGTGTCAAAAATACCAAAATCTTGTTGTTGTGTAAGTAGTACAGAACAGCTCAGATGTGACAAAATAACAAAAGGAAGACCTTCTTTCTTCCTTGCAGCCTGGTGGTGTGAAAAATGGGATTATGTAGCCATACTTCTGAGGCATGTTTGTCAGCATCTGTTGTGACTGTCCATTGGAGAACACTTTTTAAACTGGCCAGATGTGTTGGCCGTGGGGTTGGAGACATGCATTTGCTTTTGAGGTTTTCGTATTCTCTAACTTGAGTAATACCAAATAATTTTACTGAAGCAATTTTATTTCATAAGAAGAAGTGGTTAAGAGATATTTCCATCTCTGTTCTTCTGAAATTTATTTTTTACATGAAATTGGCTTCTCTATGTGTTGATTTAAAATTATACCTGCAAATAAACCAAAATGAATTTCCAGATTGGAAAGCTCTTGGATGACAGGCTGCTGGGAAGGGTCTGCTGGGGAGCTGTCAGGCTGCTAGTGCCAGCTGTGCCTGGGCTTGATGGATCTCAGACATGCTTGGCTGGACCACACTTGCTGTGCATGTGTAATGCAGGGTATCAGAGCAGGGTGTGATTTCTTACAAATGAAGACTACTCTGGAAGTTTAGGTGACTTGAGAGAGAAGTGACTCAATGTGGTGAAGGACTGAGAGCTGGGGACTAACAATGAAAATTGAAGCCTCTTCATAATGCAGTTCTAAACTTCATGGGAAGCTGTAGAGAAGGGAAAGTGTGCTAGGCTTCAGGTGGCAGGAGATCAAGGAGGTGGTGACAGAAATGTGATACCTGTTGCTTTCTAGTGCTTGCAGTCATTAATCATAGCTGAAAAGGAATCAGCCTTTAAAATGGCTGCATGGCTATATAGAAACTCCCTGTGGATTTACTAAAGAAAGAAAGGGAGAGTGTGAGGAATTTCTGAATTCCTCCTAGGTTTACACAGTTGCTGCAACAGACCCTTGAGTTCATGGTACCTGTTCCTCTGTCTGTGACTGGTTGTGTAAAACCTTCTGGATTCAGCTATCAAAGTAGCTTACCTCATAGTTTTTTTTTTTCCTCAGAATGAAAATCTGTGAACTAGAGACAACACATGTTTCAAAGTGAGACGCCAGCATAAGCTTTTATACAGCAATTAAAATTTTATAAATAAATAGGAGAGAAAGCTACTGCTCCGAAAATAAATGAAAGGCAGTGCTGACAGCAAAGTTCTTCTAAAGCAGACGTGGGGGGAAAGTTCTAAGCTGTTGCTTCCCAATCATGAAGCACGAGAATCTTGAAATGACTGCAGTGTTGTGTGTGGTCCTGGCCTCTCCTGCTGAGCCCTGCTGTCTTCCTCCCTGCTATCTGCCAAAACACTGGTACAGAAGCAGCTGAGCTGGAGGTTGTCCAGCCTTCCCCCTTGCCCTGGGTTTGGGTTCAGTGCTTGTGCTCTGCTCTGAGCATCAGAACTGGCACAGCAGTGAGACCCCTGGGGACAGTGTGGAGTGTCAGCAGCTCGTGTGGTAAGGGTTTAGTGACTGATCCTGGAGGGCTTCTGAGCAAAGGAGGCTTTAGTCCCAGAGGTGGTCAGACTGGAGCCTGTACAGTTATTTCTGTAGGCAATAAACAGTGAAGTGTATGGTCTTTCTTTAAGGGGAAGAGGTTCTGGTTTTCTTAGTGGGTTGCCATGCATTTAGACAAGTTATCTGCTCATCTAGGTAAGGGCTGTTTTTCCTGTGGGTGGTAAAGGAGGAGGAAGGCAGCAGGTGGTCTTGTTGAAAATTCTTGTGCAGTACCCAGATGGCAGAGGGGCCATAGGAAGGTGCCTGGCAGGGAGTGGAAACAGGAGCTCACAGGTTGTGTTTGTTATACAGGTGAAGCTGTTATTATTCTGCAGTAGTGAGACTTGGAGAATTTTCTCTTCTTTGGAGACGCTGAAGAGAGGGTGAACACAGAACAAGAGCAGCTGCTGAGTGGTGTGAATTAGGGAGGAGTAGTAAATGCTCAGAGGAGTGGGCATGGTGCAATGAGGCTGGGCTGAAAAGTGCAGGGCAAGCTAAAGAGAAGGTACAACAAAATTGGTGTGGCTCTGTGCCATCTGGGGCCTGAAACATCATTCAGCCTTGTCTCTGAGCTCCCTGCTAACAGACCAACCCTGGAAAAAAGGGAATGTTTTAGACAAGTGCTTAAAGACAAAGCACATATGAGAAGGTGGATTACCAGTCTAAATCATCTTCCCAAGAAAAGAGCCTGGATGGTCTCTTGGTTGTGGAGTTACTCTTCCTAGTTAGGTCACAACTAGAGTAGGACAATTGGACTTGATCAGCAGGGGAACTCTGGTGAAGTACTGGACTCTTTCAGAGTAATGAAGTCCTCTGTCAGGGCTTTTCATAACTCTTAAGCAAAAAATGGGCATGCTTCTGTTTTTGCTATGCTACAACTAGTGTAATCTGTTGTCATAGTGGAAGTACTGTATGAAACCAGTGATTAATCTTCAGCCACTCCTCTCGTAGAACTACTCCATGTCTGTGTACCTCGTTCGTCAGCTCACTTCAGCTATGCTTCTGCAGAGGCTGAAGATGAAAGGCATCAGAAACCCCGACCATTCCAGAGCACTAAGTAAGTAACACTGACTTGCCTGTCTGTACTTTTTGAGGGTAGTTGGTAGCTCTGTAGACCCTGTAATAGTGTGTGGGGGGGTCTGCAGCATTTTGAATTCTCTGGGTTCTCTTCACGTGCATGTGACGCTGATTTTCTTGAACCTGGCTCACATGTGATTATTTTATTTCTCTCTGCATCATGGGCTGAGTTTGCTCTGCGCAGTGTTGTGGCTGTTCAGTGCATCTGCTGCACGCCAGCCAGTCTTGTTTAGCACAGTGTTTGCCAGCTGCTTATAAATGGTGAAACTGTTGCTCCATATTTCTGTGAATTGGTGTCCTTGGTGCTTCAGTTTTTTTTTAGATAGCTGGAAATGAAGTGTGTGTACTGGCAAGTCAAGATTAGCATTTTAAATAACGATACCCATCTAACTTCTGCCTTTATTTTAATAGTTAAGGAGAAACTAACTGCAGATCCTGATAGTGAGATTGCCACAACCAGTCTGCGAGTGTCTCTGATGTGTCCTGTAAGTATGGCTGGAAATGGCTACGTGCAGATTTGTCTTTTCATGTTCAGTACAGAACTGGGCTGCTGTTAAAAGCCCTCGCTTCAGAACCTCACTGGCTTTTCTCTGCTGATAGAAAAGAGCAAGGAGAAGGGTGCGTCTGCAAGCACCTGATGGTAGCAGCATTCAGCCAACCATAGTTTAGAACTGGGAATGCCTCAGTTGCAACAGAGCCAGAGTCAAGTTGCCACTGGTGTGTAGAGTGAGGTCTCTAGAGGAGTAACCTCATATAATGAGGTGTGGAGACTGGTCGGGCAGGGCAACAGAAAGATTAAAGGATACAGGGATAAATAAAACTTCAGATCTCCTCATTTTAGACAGTAGGAAAAAGTTCTTCAGTATGAGGGTGATAGATCCCTGGAATAGCCTGCCCAGAGAGGTGGTGGAGGCCCCATCCCTGGAGAAAGTCAAGATCAGGCTGGATGAAGCTCTGAGCAGCTTGATCTAGTTGGAGATGTCCCTGCTTATGGCAGGGGGGTTGGACTAGATGACCTTTGGAGGTCCCTTCCAGCCCAGACATTGTGTGGTTCTATGACCCTGGTGGTGTGGCTTATACTGCCAGATATTACAACAAGCAAAAACACCTGATCCCTGTGTAACAACGCTGCCTTGGGGTTCCTCTTCCCAGGTGGAAAGCTGCCTTGTGTTTGTGACTGCTCTGTTAGACTCAGAATGTTGCACTACCCATTTTAACACTGAGCTTAACGTAACTGGAGCTCACAAACTTTGAAGTTGTTGGCTAAAAGAAAATTTTAGAAGTGGGTGCTTCAGTAGGTCTTTTAATAAAACAGAATGCTAGAAATCTCACTGCGGGTCCATTAGAAATGTTTCTGACTGCTTCCAGCTCAGTGAAGCCTTTGGGGGGCAGCTTTATAATTCCTTTAAGTGCACTGTATGTGCTTTAACAGGTAGTGCTGGGCCCCTCTAAGAGACAGTTACTTCACCTCCTGCCTCTGGCTTCACTGTTGGCTGTCCAGGCCTACTCCACTCCCTTCTGTTCTGACACTCTTTAACTGCCTCTCCTGCAGCTGGGGAAAATGAGACTGACAATCCCATGCCGTGCTGTGACTTGCACACACCTGCAATGTTTTGATGCTGCTCTTTATCTCCAAATGAATGAGAAGAAGCCTACCTGGATCTGCCCTGTCTGTGACAATAAGGCAGCTTATGAGAGCCTGATACTGGATGGGTAAGAGACTGGGCTTGCACATGACACAGCTGCTCTTGAGAGTTTAGCCATTTCATACTGTTGTTTTTCATCAAAATACTTCAGACTGGGAGGAACCACTGGACTCTGTTAATTTCTATTCCCACATAATGAACTATGTAAGTTTATCTCCTAACTGCATCATCCAAGTCCTGAGCCCCCATGTATATCCTCTGGAGACCTACAAATTTGACACCTAAGGATAGGTCTGCCTTTCACATGACCCTGTCTCTGAAGATATTCACTTTTAAATTTAACTCAAACAAGCATTAGACTTGATTGAAAGGATGATGATATGTGCTTCTATATAGGAAGCAAGAGGAGCTAGGGAGATGATCTGTGCAGTGTGTCAGAGAGGATCATAGTTGGCTTTCCTGCTGTGTCTCCTTTTCACTTAGATTAAAAAATCTCACTTGAAAATGAAATGAAACCACTCAACTTAATTTTTCAGGCTCTTTATGGAAATCCTTAATGAATGTTCAGATGTGGATGAGATCAAATTCCAAGAAGATGGCTCCTGGTGTCCCATGAGGCCAAAGAAAGAAGCTGTGAAAGTCTCAAGCCCACAGTGCACAACAATAGAAAGTAAGTACATCTGGGTGCTGGTTCCAGAAAGTCTTGGGGACTTGGCTGTAGCCTGGATAGTGTGTGTGGATGTTGATGTCTGTTCAGGCAGCCCTGTAGAGGGCTTAACACTTCTAACCACCTTGTCATTTAAACTAAAAAGAAAGGGTTGTTTCTCTAAAATGGGGCTTTGTCTTTGCTCTTTGTAATAGCAGTTGAGAAAATGAAATAATTTTTGCTAAATCATGGCAAATGGGAGAGGTGCCTGAGGACTGGAGGAAAGCCAGTGTCACTCCAGTCTGCAAACAGGGCAAGGAGGAGGATCCAGGAAGCTACAGACCAGTCAGATTCACCTCCATCCCGGGAAAAATCATGGAACAGCTCATTATGGAGGTCATCTCTGAGCACATGGAGGAGAAGAAGGTTCTCAGGACTAGTCAGCATGGATTTACCAAGGGGAAATCATGCTTGACTAATCTGACAGTGTTCTAAGATGTGGTGACTGAATGGGCAGATGCAGGGAGACCAGTTGATGTGGTCTGCCCTGACCTTAGCAAGGCGTTGGACACAGTCCCCATGACATCCTCCTGAGCAAGCTCAGGAAATACAAGACAGAGGAACAGGCAGTGAGGTGGGTGGAGAACTGGCTGCACAACAGAGCACAACGGGTGCCAAGTCCAGCTGGAGACCTGTAACCAGTGGAGTCCCCCAGGGATCAGTGCTGGGTCCAGTCCTGTTCAACACCTTCATTAACGACCTGGATGATGGTACAGTGTCTGCTCAGCAAGTTTGCTGATGACACAAACTGGGAGGTGTAGCTGACACACCTGAAGGCTGTGCAGCCATTCAGAGATTTGGACAGATTGGAGAGCTGGGCCAAGAGGAACCTCATGAGGTTCAACAAGAATAAGTGCAGAGTCCTGCACCTGAGCAGGAGTAATAAAATGCACCCGGACAGGTTAGGAGGAGATCTTATGGAGAG